AGAATAGTCGCCGCAACATTTCCCCAGCCCGATTTCAAAGCGTGCCGGCAAAAACTTCAGATGCTTCGCTAAAGGGAGATAACTTAAACTTTCACAAGTTTATTGATACAGTTGTTAAAGTAAAAATGAACGCAATTATAAATGTATGATATCGAAATAAATAATTATATTTTTTGTAGAGTCCAGGCCAGTAGTTTAAACACACAATCATATATATATATATATATATATATATATATATATATATATATATATATATATATGTAATAATGTAAACAATATAACAATCCTTTTTTGTTCTCCTAATCGACGCCACTAAAAGTAAAAAGGTAGGCTACGTCTTTGAAGTTGTCTATATGTCTGGCGGTCTCTCGAGCTATTGTCTGTGCATTTTTCTCAAAGACGTTTGCCGACTATCGTGTTTTTTTGTAACTGTAGAAGAAAGATAACTCGACCTCCACCTAATTTTTAAAAAAAAATTTTGTTTTAATTTTTTTTTTTACATTTTTTTTTAAAAATAATTTAGCCAGGATTTTTGGGCCCCCAATCGGTCTGCCCCCCTCCCCCGCATTGCGGTGTCTGGCGGCACTGTAGTTCCGCCCCTGCGTCTTTGAAGTTGTCTATATGTCTGGCGGTCTCTCGAGCTATATTCTGTACATTTTTTTCAAAGACGTTTGCCGACTATCGTGTTTTTTTGTAACTGTAGAAGAAAGATAACTCGACCTCCACCTATTTTTTTTTTTTTTTTTTTTTTTAATTTTTAATTTTAAATTTTTTTAAAAATAATTTAGCCGGGATTTTTGGGCCCCCATTCGGTCTGGGCCCCCCCGCATTGCGGGGTCTGGCGGCACTGTAGTTCCGCCCCTGCCCAAGTGTCTTCGTCTTCTTTTGTCGGACTGTCTGTGTCAGGTCACCACACAATAAAAAATTACAGACCTTTTCTTGATCTGTCAAATGCACATGTCAATCATACCAAACAATAGAACATTACAGACCTTTTCTTGATCTGTCAAATGCACATGTCAATCTTACCAAACAATAGAACATTACAGACCTTTTCTTGATCTGTCAAATGCGAATGTCAATCATACCAAACAATAGAGCATTACAGAACTATTCTCTAGTTGTAAAATGTGCACGTCCATTATACACAGAGGCGTAGCGAGGGGTGCGGACCGCACCGGGTGACACCATTTAGGGGCATGACACCAAGGCGAAAAATAGCAAAATATATAGAGAAAAACTTGAGGGGGGGGGTGCAAAGCGAAAGTTTGAGTGGGGGGGTGCAAATCGAAAATTTGTCCCCGGGAAGGGTCGCTACGCCTCTGCCGCACCGGGTGACACCTGACCTCGCTACGCCACTGATTATTATACACACTATCTGCTACATCTTTAATGATAAACTGGGCTCGGCGTTGTCCCATTGTGTGGACAGAACTTTAAAAAATGTCCAGTTTGTAAAGACAAGTCAGCACTGACTATTATCAATACGGTTGTTATTATTTATGTACGCCTTCAACTTTATCGGTTAGCCGTTTATAAAGGTCGGCGTGGTCGAAAAAGAAGCCGTTCGTATAGTTCAAAAGAATATCTTTTCGCACTATTTGTATATACAAGTTCTAGCTATCTTGGTCTATCCCCACCTACTTGAAAAACTAAATTAATCATTTCGCGCTTTTGAAAAACATGTATTTCTGATATCAAGATTTTACAATAATCCGATATACATAGAAATTAGCGGGTATGAGATAACGCATTAATTTTTAGAAAGAAAGCTAAGTATAAACTATTTAAAAAAATACTTCTAAGATATATAGCTGCTAAGAAAGTGTAAAATATTTAAATGGCTTAAATTGATTTACAACAAACTTGTGTAGGCCTACGATAGTGTAATAACACCGATGAATGATAGCTAACTGAAAAAACAAGTTAATAAAAAGTCTAGTGACAATTTAAGCGCAATTTCCTTATGTTATCCATAACAATTTTAAATCGAGATAAATCATATATTCAGCAACGGAAATAGTTTTATTTTAACGAGTAGGCCTACACGATGCTCAGTTTAAAAAAAAAGACAACTATATTAACCTATATCAACGAGTAGGCCTACACGATGCTCAGTTTTAAAAAAGTAGTAAATATTTCTTAATTAATTTTTTGTGACCGAACGAAAGGATATTTTTGAAAACTTTCTTCAGCAATATTGTTCTAAATTATTGCAGGAATCGATTGGTAACTGTTTCAAGTCGCTAAGTTGTCTGGTTGCCGAGATATGGGCAAAAAACTGCATGTTTTCGAGGTTTTTTGGCTTTTCCGGGAAATCCAGGAAGGAATTCCGGGAATTTGTTTAGCCCACAATCATCCTCGGAACTTGCTTAACATATTTGCTTTTGGTACTAGTCCTCGATATTGCTTCGTTGAGGAGGAGATACGACTTAAAGCTGCGGACACACATCCATCCATCCATCCATCCATCCACCCATCCATCCATCCAGAAATGACGCATTATTAAACGCAATTGTCCGTATGGAAATTGCGCTAAAAAATTAGGTTTTAAATAATACATATTTATATGGTATATATTATGCGTGTATTTTATCGTTAGTTTCATGGACAATGTTACAGTTTACTCTGATGTTTTTCTCAAGTTACCACTATTCGAATGCAATAAAATATTAATCATTTAAAGAAGGCTAACAGAGGGTTGAAAATGATTATTTTAATTCATTGTACAAGATAGATTAAAAAATAAAAGCATATACAGATACAAGGCAACTATAAGCCATACTGTGTATCTTTAAATCCTTAAAATAATTATCAAATGAATATTTATTCAAATTTCTTATTATTAAAAAAAAATAGGATTGAAACTTTTTGAGGTATTTGTGTCGGTTTTAGTTAAATAAAATGTTAAGTTCAAAATTAATTAATTCATTTATGACTCAAACAAAGTATTAATTGATTAAAAAATAATAAATGTCAGAAGTATTACTTTAACATAAAACACTTTTAAAAAAGTAAGTAAGCTTACGTAAAATATTCAGACGACTTTAGACTATGGAAGATGCTGTTGGTGGTGTCGGCCCAATGTAGAGTGAAGGCGATAGGCGGAAAAGCTCTAGTTTGTTCACTCGCTCACTGTTAATGCTAATCTCTTTAGGTTACTTTAATCCACTTACTCTTTACTCTAAACGTTTAATTTTAGCAGAGGTATTTATTAGATACTATAGTGACTCACCCTATTCTTTATTTAAAAACGCATTGTTATATAATTGAAAAGATATTTCATTGGAGTCAAATTCTAACCCGAAGCAATACTTTGGAAAATTACCTTCATCTGGGACTCTTACGGAATAAACAAGTATAGTGACAATTTAAGCGCAATTTCTTTATGTTATCCATAACAATTTTAAATCGAGATAAATCATATATTCAGCAAATAAATAATGCAACACAAGTAGTTTTAATAATTCAAAACAAAATAGAAACCAGTATGGAAATTGCGATAAAAAAGACAACTATATTAACCTATATCAACGGAAATAGTTTTATTTTAACGAGTAGGCCTACACAATGCTCAGTTTAAACATCATCCTAGGCCTACACGATGCTCAGTTTAAAATATATTTAAAAAAATTTGTGACCGAACGAAAGGATATTTTTGAAAACTTTCTTCGGCAATATTGTTCTAAATTATGGCAGGAATCGATTGGTAAATGTTTCAAGTCACTAAGTGGTCCGGTTGCCGAGATATGGGCAAAAAAACTGCATGTTTTCGAGGTTTTTTGGCTTTTCCGGGAAATCAAGGAAGGATTTCCGGGAATTTGTTTAGCCCACAATCATCCTCGGAACTTGCTTAACATATTTGCTTTTGGAACTAGTCCTCGATATTGCTTCTTTGAGGAGGAGATACGACTTAAAGCTGCAGACACAAATCCATCCATTTATCTATCCAGAAATGACGAGTTAATAATCGCAATTGTCCGTATGAAAATTGCGCTAAAAATGTAATTTAACGGGCATTTAACCTTTAATCTGAACTAGATATTAAATCGAAAACGGAAATTATATCAGAATACTATTGTTGCGCGTTGATAAATGAAGGGGACTTAATGTATTTCACATTATATAAGGGAAAGAACTCTCTCATTCTATTTTTTATTAACGTTTATCTAAGAAGTACACACATAATATACAGCTATTAAATTATTATATTAAATTTCTAAAAGTAACTAATAAGGTCGTATTTATGTTTAAGAGATAAGTGTCGATTATAAAATAAAATAATTAAACTGCTTTTGTATTTTAAATCGTAAGAACCATTTTAAGATGTTACATAATTCGTCATATAGATTGGGACTGAACTTTTAATTGTGTTACCATCAGTTTTAGTGCATTTCAAATTATTTTAATTTTAGAGAACATTTATATATAAATTTCTTAAAGCATTGCGACAGTTATGATGTTGACGGAGAACGACAAAATGAAATGCTTAGAGAAGCAAGGCATAGAGAGGTAGAAGATGCCTTTGGAGTAGATTACCAAACTGAAGCACATCATACTACTGCAGCATCACAGCAAGTTAACGAAAGCGTAACAGAAACCACCATAGAGGCCGAAGCCATGGAGACAATAGCGACCAGAAATTCCATAGTAACAGGGTCTCAAAAAGATGGGAATCAAGAAAATTTGGAGGCTGTCGACGAAACAATAAATGATATTCTTCAAGATAACACTAGTTCAGAAAACATCACGAAACCGCTAAAGAAAATTAAAAGCTCACAAAGTATATCAGCAACAAAGGTATCAGGTCAACTGTCATATAGTCAAGCAATCAGTTCAAGTAAAAATCAATTACCTACAGTAAAGCCACCTCAAAGGGTCGTGACCAGGGCCCAACAGGATAGCAAACCAACGGCTGGAAAGTTTGGCGTTAAAAGACCACCACCATCCAGCCCTCCAGAAACAGATGTTCGAAAGAAAACCCCAAATAATTCATGCTAACTGGCAAGATTGAACATCAGGGAGGGCTAGGGACAAAACACATTATATAAACAACATAATAAATAAACACAATATTGACATCCTACTTTTACAGGAAACTAACATTGGAACTACAGAAGAAGCAAATAAACTAGATGAATAATTAATATCGACAGTCTCAAGCTAAACATTACTCGATCAGCCCTCAAGTAAATTAACATTAGAACAGTCTTCTGTTTCCCAGGTTTTTAAAAGTGCACAACCTGAATGGTAGAAAGAGATACAAACCTCACCACCCCCCCCCCCCCCCCACACACACACACTCCCCCCCCCCCCCCCCCACTCAACCGGACTGGCGGATTTTTCAAGGTAGCGTGCCCTCATTGCCAAGGGTCAATTTTATGTCATGGAAAGTTTTGGAATGATAGATCAGTATGTGTATTACAGAGACCCTTCTCCCACGGTCGTTTCTATTTCTGTCCATGTGTGGCTACAATGTGAACTTTTGACTCCTCAGCTAAGGACAGAGCACAGTAAACTAAGCAGTCATGAGAAACCTAGTTTGCACACCTTATTTTAGTCTAGTTCTTATGCTATTTTATTTTCTCCATTTGATTATTATATATGCAATTGATACATATGAGTGGATGGGGTTATCACAACACCACAAAACAGCAGCACTCTATGACAAAAGCAACACTCGATAAAAGCACTACACGACATTAGCACCGCAAGACAATAGCACCTCACGACAAAAGTAATATTATTGAACAGCTGTTATCGAACACAATGAAAAAGTGTCAAGGGAGGTAGCTGCACTTATTGTTTATTTAAAGCGGCTGTTTTTTAAATTTAGCATAATATGATAGTATTAGACTTGTTACTTGCGAACATTGATAAACTAATAGCGATAGAGTCCAGTTTGTCAAACATTTTGGTCTACTTTTAATACAAATATAAGAATACAGTACACATGATATCTATAACCAGATAGTATTCTACATCCAGAGTTTCTTCCAAGTATCTCTTGGGGGGGGGGGGGGGGAGCTTCGAACGAAATGGAATTTATGTAAAAAAATATGTACTTTTAACAGTGACAGCCCCCCCCCCCCCCGAAAATTTTAGTCAACCCATCCCGAAAATTTCAAGAAACACTATCTACATTGGGACCTATAAGTAAACGTCATTATTACACTAGGCCGAATTATGTCGCACTATTATACATTAGGACAAGTGACATTATGTAACGTTACAAGCAATTATGTAATATTATCCTGGATTAGGACTAAAAGGTGTTATTGTATTACATTAGGCATGTTATGTAACATAATCCTACATTAAGATCTATAAGGTATCATTACCCAACATATAGGACATAATAAAATATAATCGACATTAAGAGTAGGTATGTTGTGACATAATCGGCTAGAGTTGCATAATATTGTTGGCTGTCGGTGTTAGCGTTTAGCCAAGGTCCCTTTCGGACACGGCGGCCCATGAGGCAGGTGAAGTAGATTTTACATGTTTCTGTGACCTCGGAATTCGAAGCGATAGTGTGGTAAGCACTATGTCCACCCGACTTACTCTCCCCAACGTTTGTCAGGTACCCATTAGAGCTGGGTAAACTCAGAACGTGATGCGACTCTACCTACGGAACACGAACTCAAGGTTTTCTGGTTAGCAGACGATCGCGCTATCATTCGACCTCGCCCTCCGTTAAAAACTTTGACATACATTAATTATTCCACACTTCTTCAATTCGTTAAATCAAAAAAAATAGTTCATATGACAGCACAGAATGTGTTTATCAAGGGAAGTAGTTGCGCTTACTGTGTTAGATAAATCAGTTGTTTCCCCTCTATTGTTAACACTAATTTACGTTTTTAGAGTCTTATTAATGATTTATAATTAATCAAATATTAAAGATAAGGTCCAGTTTGTCATACATTTTTACTTTTTCGTATACAAAGTATAGAGGAAGTATTGTACGCAGGTTAGTGGTTGTACGCAGGTGTTAGGTTGTAAGCAGGTTAAAGGTTTGTACGCAGGTGAGAGGTTGTACGCAGGTGAGAGGTTGCACACAGGTGAGAGGTTGTACGCAGGTGAGAGGTTGTACGCAGGTGAGTGGTTGTACGCAGGTGAGAGGTTGTACGCAGGTGAGAGGTTGTACGCAGGTGAGAGGTTGTACGCAGGTGAGAGGTTGTACGCAGGTGAGAGGTTGTACGCAGGTGAGAGGTTGTACGCAGGTGAGTGGTTGTACGCAGGTGAGAGGTTGTACGCAGGTGAGTGGTTGTACGCAGGTGAGAGGTTGTATGCAGGTGAGTGGTTGTACGCAGGTGAGAGGTTGTACGCAGGTGAGAGGTTGTACGCAGGTGAGTGGTTGTACGCAGGTGAGAGATTGTGCTCATGTGAGTCCCCAGGGGGTTGTTTACAAGATGTTGACATTCAACTGTTGAAATATTGGCAGCTAAAATATTAATGTTAACATTTAAAGTTCTTTAGGCACTGTTTAACGGGAGGGGTTGCTACGCCTCTGAGTAGGACTGAAGGGGACTTAGCCAAACAGCGCCATTTTGTTGATAAAAAAAAGATTACCGTTACACAAAAACGTACCAATACAGATTTTATCCTGATTTATTTATACAGTGATTACATATAGCTATAAAGTAGTATATGTAAGTGAAGTATAAATGTTAAACGTTGCTTCGATATATGGGAGATGATGCACTAAGGTGTTACTAAATAAAGTTTTAGAAACCAGTGAATTGATTTAAAACCTTAACAACGTATTTTTCTGTTTTTCTTGAGAATATTATTAGTAGGCCTACCTAATATGTTTGTCTACATTAATAAAAATGTACTTAAACATTGTCGCAATTTTATTTTTTATAGGGTATATAACCATTATTAAAGCTAAATTTGTAATAGATTTCATAAGTTATCGCCCTTGTTAGACGTAAATCTGAATTGTTTTACACAATGCTAAAAGCAAAAACGTGATAAGAAAAATCCATTTACTACACATATTCACAGTGGAGGTAGGTGTCCATCGAATCTAGTGTCAGCAGAGGTTATCCACGTAAACTAACTTTAAAAGAGAACGTAAAAACTTATGTATTTTCAATGCACTAAAAAAACAGACTTTCCCCAACAAAGGGTTAGTTTAACTGCATCAGATATGTGGTGAGCGACTAACGGTTTTACTTCAGTAAGTCGACCACAACTCACCACATTTCTCTGCCTGATTGATCTATCGAGAGTATTGTATCCTGTTTGCTCCCCAATAGCCATTAAATATAGTGTTCTTTTAATTAACTTTTTCATATCTAATGAGATGCAAAATTGCGTGGTCGTCACTAGCTAATTCACTTACGAAAAAGTGTTATTTTTTTTAATTTGACCATAAACCCTCCTACACATAGAATAACCGCCTCTGTGAAATCAAATAAAAAGTGACAATGTTGTCTTTTAATATGTGGGAGACGTCTCTGAATGTTGTCAATGATAGCTGCACTAAACTCGTGGGTCTGATAATCTATAATTAATTACAGTAAGGTGTAAACAATGATAAATCAGGATACAGAAGAAAATGTCCAAGTGGAATTGTTTTCCTGTCCTGTTCTGTCCAGCAGCAGTCCTAGGCTGTTCTGAGCTGTCCTAGGCTGTCCTGAGCTGTCCTTGCATGTTGACAGCCTAGCTATACTTCGATTAACGACCACATACATTACAACATCTCTCACATCCATACTACACCAATCTTAGACAAGAAGATATAACACTTTTTATTTAACACAATCTCAATTTTAAGATTTCAGAGTCAATTGATAATATTGAGAAAAAAGCATCTAATATACCGATAGACAACTTTTTTTACAAAACTTCTTTCATTTGCGACCACTTCCCTTTTTTATTTTCTTAGCACACTTGGTGTAGTCGTAGTTGATGAGAGACTCGTTGAAAGTGTAGCGGGTGAAGCACTTGGCGGCTTTGACGTCACATTTGCAAGCCTTGTAGGCGCAGGAAGATTTATCCGCCGCTGAAAACAAATGTAAAATATACAGCACAGACTAGTTTGGTGTCCAAGTGGTTGAACATTTCAAATATAAACAACTAATCTAAAGTTAGATGAGTGAGATCTTCTATAAGCAATTACTCTAAAGTTAGATGAGTGAGATCTTCTATAAACAATTACTCTAAAGTTAGATGTGTGAGACCTTCTATAAACAATTACTCTAAAGTTAGATGTGTGAGACCTTCTATAAACAATTACTCTAAAGTTAGATGTGTGAGACCTTCTATAAACAATTACTCTAAAGTTAGATGTGTGAGACCTTCTATAAACAATTACTCTAAAGTTAGATGTGTGAGACCTTCTATAAACAATTACTCTAAAGTTAGATGTGTGAGACCTTCTATAAACAATTACTCTAAAGTTAGATGTGTGAGACCTTCTATAAACAATTACTCTAAAGTTAGATGTGTGAGACCTTCTATAAACAATTACTCTAAAGTTAGATGTGTGAGACCTTCTACTAAATTGGCTGCTGGTTTAAGAATTTTGCAGCCGGGTTCATGAAGAAGGATTATAGTGTTAATGGAATGGGCAGAAGAATCGTTCTACTCAGCCTCTTGGCGTCTGTTATCCCAACTGCAGTACTTGCGTTACTTAAGTCTAATTGTTATGAGAAACGCGTAGTCGTACTAAACTTTATTTAAATACAATATGTCGATATAAATTACTAGATACTGAAATCCTTTACATATCAGATATTTTAGCTAGGGAAAAATGGTTTAGGTAACGTTTGGAATATCTCGGCTTTTATTATTCTAAGACTGTCGGAAAGTATCTCCTATTGTCTTTTTACAATTCTTCGACACCGTACCTCTGATGTTTATGGCCTATGGAAAATTACTAATTAAAAGCATTTAAGGTTATATATATATATATATATATATATATATATATATATATATATATATATATATATACATATATATATATATATATATATATATATATATATATATATATATATATATATATAAATTATATATATATATATATATATATATATATATATATATATATATATATATATATATATATATATATATATATATATATATATATATATATATATATATATATAGACATGTTAATACATGTATATATACATTTATAAATTATATATATATATATATATATATCTTATATATGTGTGTATGTATATTTATATCTGAATTATACACCTTACGTAGGCAGTGAATTTGGGAGAAGCGCAGAAACCTTTTGTTTTCTCATCCTACTAAGACAAAGAAGTACAGCTTAAATTACCTGTGCATCGACAAGAGCCGTTTTTGCACTTGACCTCTGTCGGTATGTTGTAATCACAACTTAGTTTTGCGTAGCACCGATCCTTAGCCGCACAGCAACTACAACAGGAAAATAAAATATTACAAATTATTTTGCAGAGTGAAAATTGAACGTAAATTTATAACAACTAAATAGCTTTGCGTCTAATAGAATTACAGTTTTCTGGTTCTGTGATTGTCACAAACAAAAACAAAAATAAAGGCTCCACCTTCATACAGTGGCGGAACTAGAAAAAAAGGGCCACCCCGCAAAGAAATTTTTTGGGCCCCATATATATATATATATATATATATATATATATATATATATATATATATATATATATATATATATATATATATATATACATATATATATATATATATATATATATATATATATATATATATATATATGTGTGTGTGTGTGTGTGTGTGTGCCTTTGTATATAAACAAAATACGAAAATACCAACACAGTACTCATTTCGGGATTGTTCGATTTTTTTTTAAATTAAAAATACTAAATTTTTTTTAAAGAAATTAAAACAAGTTACAAGAACACGTCACAATTCTGTGAGTGCTATTTTTTTTTTTTTAATAGTGACAATCGTAAACAGCGTAAAATCGTAGATCAGTCTCACTATCCACTCTGTGTGTGTGAGTGCTATTAGTCTGAAAATCTCTGCTTTAAATATATGTTTAATGTTTCCAGTATGTTGGTCGGTCAAAAGAATATGCAGCATGAAAGCTTTGTATGCGTAATGGTTTCCCGCGTTATGTGTATTTTCATGTTTTTTTGTATTTATATTATTAGTTTTAAATACATTTCCTTTTTATGCTTTGTCATTCTTTATTATGAATTTTTTAAAATAATAATTAAGAGATGTAATTGCTTTTTAATTTGTTTAGTGCAATCTATTAAAAGGAGCTTAAGAGCACACATACTTGACTATTTGAAAAAGGGAAATAAGTCATGGAAGTGGTTTGAACGCTTGCCTATCATTCACGCGATTTTCATACGAATTTTTCCGACAACAGCGTGTGTTTGATTGTTGGAGAAAGAGGACCCGGGATGGTGTCTATAGAATAAAGATAATGAAACCGCAGCTACAGTATTCTTTTTACAAAACAACCATAAAGTCAAAAATGTATCAAGATTTTTTTTTAACTAAAAAAATAAATTGATTATGGTCGGCTGTGGGCCCCTAAATGGCCCGGGCCCCCCCGCATTGCGGGGTCTGGCGGTACTGTAGTTCCGCCCCTGCCTTCATAACTTTAATCGATGTATTCAACCAGTCTTACAGAAGAGATTCACAAAGTAGCCACATGATGAACCAACCTTGACGTAAGTCAGCTGTGGATACCATTATTGGTCGTCCTTGACCTAACTCTCCTGTCGTATTGTCGACCTTGACCTAATTCACCTGTCGTACGGTCGTCCTTGACCTAACTCACCTGTGTGGTAGTCCTTAACCTAACATACCTGTAGTATGGTTGACCTTGACCTGACTCCCCTGTGGTACGGTCGACCTTGACCTAACTCACCTGTAGTATGGTTGACCTTGACCTAACTCACCTGTAGTATGGTTGACCTTGACCTAACTCACCTGTAGTATGGTTGATCTTGACCTATATCACCTGAAGTACGGTCGACCTTGACCTAACTCACCTGTCAATGCCATCTATGGGTGCCCTGGCTTTGTTGGGCCCACAGCTACAGCCATAGCTGGAGAAGTCCATACAGCTACGTGGGACGTACGTCTGGAACACCAGACACAAGTTTTGCAAATCTCGTTTCAATCTTGGCAAGCCTTGAGTACACTGGAAGCCTGAAGACCGGGCACAGTGTATCAAAATATTCAACATCATCTAAACTGATTGGACCTAATCATAGATTAGTGGCTAACTTTAAAAGAAAAATCGAACAGGAAAGGTTTGGATGGATCTACCTGATGTAAGTTCTTAAAATAAATGGCTGGGAATTCAATAATAGGCTTTATATACATTAAAGTATTTCATAACTCGGTAACGAGAATACAATAATAATGTATTTATGAGGAAGATTTTAAGTAATGGAATAATTAATTACGTAATATAATCATTAATTACCTCCAGCAGTCAGCAGCAGAAGAAGTGGCATCATCTTTATAGCAGACACTTTGTAGACCTGAGATCAAAGAAAGATAAATATCATGTGTACATTGATGGGGGCATCATCTTTCTAGCAGTACTTCTTCTTCGTTCTTAATTATTAGTGTTGAAGGGGATCGAGATTTATCTGCCAGTGAGTTTGAACTCGAGACTTTGTTCGATTTTATCAACCATGAGCTTTTTGCCGACTCGACCACGCCTCCAACACAATGTATGCAGTACTAATGAATACAATACAGCAAATGAGTACATTGACGGATGCTATAGTTTAACTCTTGTCAACATCTTAAATGTTTAATTATCCCAACATTTTAGTAATTCCTGGATCAACACTAAACTCGCCCAGACTAAGAGGGAAAGACTTTAGAATCCCTTATGCCATATAAGACTGTAATGTCCTTAGAAAATGTTATTTCTCAGGTTTTCTGCGGTATAAAAACTGTATACAATTGTTAAGTTATTTTTACACATTGCGTCTCTATGACTACATTTGAACACAGTGTTCAATAGAAGATACACCTCTATTATAGTCCATACTAAATTTATTTGCATTGGCTAATTACTTTCAACTAGCCATCGGTAAACTTACACGTGAATTATAGGCTTATTTTAAAAATTGTTATACTTGTTTAAGAAATATATTTTATAAAATAGTTATTGGCCAATACGCAATGTGCTTTACCACACGTCAATTTATATTTATGAAAAAGCAAATATATCTATAAATAGCTAAAAAATCCGACACAGGCTTCCAATACCTGTTGAAAAATTAAAACCAAATTATATACATTTTTTTTCAATACAACACCATATTAAATACACACGCTGATCAAGAGACTTAAATGGTTTTGTTGAAAACTCGGCTATTAAATGGTAGTTTTCTTGTTTTTTTAACTAATTATAATTTTTTGGACGAGATATTGTGTATAAAATTTTTATTTTTCCGTTTTTAAATAAAATTTAGTTTATACATTTAATACATCCAACATATAATTTTCAACAAAAGATTATATCAGAAACAATTGCTGATTTACGTTACCAATTAATTTGACCAGAAACAATTGTAGATTAACTTGACCAATTAATTTGACCACAAACAAATTAAGATTAACCTTACCAGACTTCAGCAGACTACAATGTGTGATGATCCAGTCAGGCGAGGACTGCTGGTAATCCTGTCACCCCCGGCTTAAATAACCCCCCCCCCCCCCCCCCCCCGCTTTAATCTGGCTGCGATCGGCTAGGCCTCTAACTATCCGCACTTTGTATAAATAGATGACATTATAGCTCCAAATAGACTTCACCGCTTTAGCCTGACATTAAAAAAAAAACATTTGAAAAGCGGATAGGTAATCACCCCCCCCCCCTCATGCATACCCCCCTCTCACCCCCGTCCATATAACCATTGAAATGAACAGCCGCATAGATCAGACGGCACACGATCAGACAGGGTATTAACGTCACCAGACCATAACCAGTTGTTTTTTTTTAGCCCAGGACATATCGCCACACACAAGTCACCTTGAAATAAATAGAATTCAACGAACTTGAAACATTTCGGCCACGTCCTCATAGTCTGAACATTCCTCGCTCTTTGCAATTTGGCAACTACTCCACGAAATCATGTCTAGGCCTGTTCACCTGTTTTTCCCAGGTTTTCTTTAACTTGCTTTCGCGTCTGTTTGTTTTTCCATCAAATCTTGGGATCGAAATTTCGGGCAGTTCCCAGTTAGCTAGCGCGCTGAAATTTTCAGGGAAGCCTTGTTTCCGATGACAATACAATATTCAATTATTATTATTACTAAATTGATCCATGGAAAACATTTATTGATCATTTTAGACTGCTATTGATTTGTACAAAAAGGGGCATAACCTAGTAATTGTAATTTGATAAAAACAAGATTCGGTACTTTCCCTTGAAAAAAGATCGAAACCAAAAATCTGCTGCTTTAACGATGGAGACAGAAGAACAAAGTGTCTCTTGTAAAGCAAAAGGTAGAATGCGTCATGCTACTGCTCGTGCGATTGAGACAGAACAAGAAAGGGTCTCTCGTCTTGATAAGCAGAAAGAACGAACTGATGCTGCACTTGCAATTGAGACAGAACAAGAAAGGGTCTCTCGTCTTGCTAAGCAGAAAGAACGAACCTCCAGCTGATCCTGAATAATAAGCGTGTCATGCCTGGTATAAGTCCCTTTTATCTTTGTGTTCGTTCTTTGTGAGTGTTTGTCTTCGTTTACCCAAAACAAAAAGTGAATGCGAGAAGATAAAATCGATAGCAAGATGTCAATGCAAACAAACAGACAAAGACTAAAAAGTAGAAAATAATTATCACCACGTTTTTCATATTTTGTCATAATGCGCACGCAGTTTGCGATCACTTATAGTAGAGTGATCGCTTGCATTATTGTGATGTATAGCATTTATTTTCTACTTTTTAGTTCAATCAGAAAACGTGGTTTTTTTTTTTTTTTTTTAATGATAATTTTGTGACCCAATCACACAAAGCGATTCTGTTTGGGCACAATGTCCAGCTTATGTTCCCTAATAAAATAGTGTGGGGGGGGGGGGGGAACACTGTGATATCTCCTAACGCCTGAAACCAGGGATTCAAACTCGAGTCATTCAGGTTAGCAGTCGTGTGCTCCACCTCCCGACCACGACGTCGCACTAATGTGAAATGTAAACTAGATATTTTATTGCATTACGTATTTCCTGAATTAAATCCTGCCAAGGTAAGAACATGTTCACCTATGACATGCCATACATAGATTATTCCACACTTCTTCAATTCGTTAAATCAAAAAAATATTTCATATGACAGCACAGAATGTGTTTATCAAGGGAAGTAGTTGCGCTTACTGTGTTAGATAAATCAGTTATTTCCCCTCTATTGTTAACACTAATTTACGTTTTTAGAGTCTTATTAATGATTTATAATTAATCAAATATTAAAGATGAGGTCCAGTTTGTCATACATTTTTACTTTTTCGTACACAAAGTATAGAGAAAGTATTGTAATCGTGCAAAAAAATTCGTGATTTTTACAAATCTCGACGTTTCACACTTCCGTGAGTCGGAAAAACATAGTTTTGCAATTTTGTCCGTTTGTCTGTGTGTGTGTGTATGTGTATGTGTGTCTGTGAACACGATAACTTGAGTACCGTTACGTGAAATTTCATATATAAGTATTATATCAAATTTGTAGTTCTAGAGCAACTTTTCAGTGATTTCCGATAACCGGAAGTGGAACTTATTCTACTTTCAATTTTTCAAAAGGCTATAACTTAAATACTGTTTCAGATAGATAAATGAAATTTTACATGTAAGTAAAAGATCTAATTTTCTGTCTTTTTTCAAATATTGAGTGCTTTCCGTTGACCTGAGGAAGTAATTTACGCTATTTCCGATTTCTCAAAAAAAAAAAAACGCATTTATAAAGTACTAATAATATTCCGCATTATTATACACATATTGTTAGGCGTTCACTTGGTGCGCATTTTTTTTCTACGATGTTCTATTCGATTATACAAAGTTTAAGTAATTAAAATAATTATCCTTAAAAAAGTTTTTAAAAACCCACGTTTTCTGATTGAACTAAAAAGTAGAAAATAAATGCTACACATCACAATAATGCAAGCGATCACTCTACTATAAGCGATCGCAAACTGCGTGCGCATTATGACAAAAAATTGAAAAGTAAAAGTTTTTTATCGGTCATTGTTAATATAAGATGTAAAAGTTATATTACTATTGATTAGATAATACTATTGAATTTTATTAGGGAGCTTGTAGAGTCAACAGTATTAAAAACTGTAAGAAAAACACGGCGCCCCACGTTTTTCATTTTTATCTTCTCGCATTCACTTTTTTTTGGGTAAACGAAGACAACTCGTAAAAAACACGTGCCTTTTCCAATCGACGTTTCTCCTGTGTTGCCGTTTTTTCACCATTTTGCCCTCGCGTGCAAACCATTCGACCATCAACATTCTACTTCCTGATCAGTCAGATTTGCATATGTTTGTACACAAACACCGCGTGACCACTACTCAGCCAATCGCGTGCTCGCCCCTTCAGTAAGCCTGAAGAGGGAAAGTACCGAACCTTGTTTTCATCAAATTACAATTACTGGGTTATGTCCCTTTTTTGGGTACAAATCAATAGGAGTCTCTAAAATGATCAATAAAAGTTTTCCATGGATCAATTTAGTAATAATAATAATTGAATATTGTATTGTCATCGGAAACAAAGCTTCCCTGAAAATTTCAGCGCGCTAGCTAACTGGAAAGTGCCCGAAATTTTTATCGCAAGATTTGATTGGAAAAACAAACTAACAAATAAATAAACAGACGCGAAAGCAAGTTAAAGAAAACGTGGGAAAAATGCCATCCCCATAGTGTTATGTAAAAATATTCGAGAAAGTTTCGGGGAGGTTACTCCCGGTTTATTTTATCTGTATGCCTATATAATAATGTTTAGTCTATTTCATTAGTAATTTATGCAATTGTTTAAAAAGAATTCTTATAGTTTCATGTATTTTAATAAAGCACACACAAAACAAGTTAAATAAATCAGAATGATTATTTCTCTAACAAATAAATCAAAATAAGTTTACATTTTTGTCTAGTTTTTTAAGTTATTTTTTTGGGAAGTAATTTTTGAAAAAGGTTCTTTAACGTTTTGTATGTGTAATAACTTTTTTTTCTATGAGATTTCTAATTAATAGGGTCACTTGACAATGTTACTTGCAGAAATGTAATTCAGTCACGAGTATTATAGATATAACTCGACTCCTTCTTAATGGCTCACATTACTAAGGCTGCATTAAAAGTTATATAATATTCATCAGAATTAGTTTGTTTAGAAGTAAACTTACTTTTAAACTGGATTGGAAGACTTCAATTCTAAGAATAGTTAAGTCACAAACTCAACACTTTGAAAGAGTTCACAAATTTAAGTCTATCAGTTCTTGGGCTAGTCTTTTATGGTACGTAGAATTTTATATATATATATATATATAGATATATATATATATATATATATATATATATATATATATATATATATATATATATATATATATATATATATATATATATAATTGTATTTCTATTGGTACGTAGAATTTTAGATATATATAATTGAATTTGCTAATAAGGAATCTCGATAGATCTGGAGTCCTAGCTCTCTCCCCCCCCCCACATATACCTTAACCCCACCCCCCCTCCCACTCCACATCCAATGTATTCCTTAACAGCTAAAACCACTGTGAGCATATACCATCTATCTTTTGTTTTTCCAATAGATTTTTCTAGATGTTTAAGACCTTCCAGCATACATACCTGCTTTTCTCATCAATTTCCCAGGCTTTTAGGTGTGCACGTTCTAACATGTGTTTAAATCACGTGTCATCAGACTTATCAGCATACATCTTTTAGCTCACCACGCTTCTATCACGTGATAGACAAATGTCAGTAATCTCTACCTGCATGTTTAACCTCTTCATTAAACGATCGATACATGCCCGGCGTATTAAAAATAGATTTGATTAAATTTAATATACGTGCACAAAAGCACATGAACCACTATTTAAATTATTGCGCTTAGTTTTCGAAGTCAATTATTTTGAAATTGAAAAAAATGTTTGTTTGTTTTTTGTTGAATACACAGCTTAATTAAATTGTTATCACATAGTGTCTGCCACAAAACCAAAAGACTTGTTTATGCATCAAATGTAGATCCTGGGAAAATTTGTTTTACAGCAGTCTTGTTGACGCAGATATGTGCTGCAATTTAAACAATTGAACTTGGTCCTATTTAAATGTAGTTAAGAGATGTACTGAGGTATAGTGGAGCTAGCTAAATTGTTTAGTCTCGGATGTAATTTATGTTAAATAAATTTACTGAGTTTAGTTAAAGTATAAAGGTATATCTAGGTGAAGCCTCAACACAAAGCTGGCATATATGAATGAGGTAAACTGAAACTGCCAAGGTATCCTCTAACGTATATGGTATCTGATCTTATAGTTTTAGTGTTTTACTTGTAACCCTAAGTTCTTTTTTTCCGGTCCTCACTGTCCACGAAGAAAGCGAAGTAGATTTCATCTGTTTTTGTGACTTCGGCATGTGAAGGGATAGTGTGGTCAGAGGCTGGGGTATGATGAACAATTTTTAAGAAACAATAAAAATCAGTAATTTATAGACAAGACAGTTTAGTAAACATCTCAAGAAATTTACACATGTGTTCAATTGACTTTGTGTTAGCATTTTGTTACCAGTTGCTAACATCTTGTTACTTCTTTTTCTTTGTTCTTAATTGTAATGTTACACGATATGCCAACTAAATTACCTATTACGTGTTAGCTTGTTATGCGCCATAAAGATAGTTGAATCCGATTTCAGCCTTCTTTTCTTTCTATGCTTGCTTCTAAAGCTTTTGTCCAACCAGGAACCCAGCTACCGAGCCCAGCTTCCCACGTATTCGAACTCAGGACCTCTAGGTTTAGCAATCATGAGCTTCCCCCACCCGATTACGCAGACTTAACTTGTTACAATTTCGCTCACTGTTTTCTTAATATTTTGTCAAGTGTAACATTTATTGTATTTTAACAATGACGATACGTTGGCTGTGCTCAATGGAATTGTGGTTCGTGTGGGGGGTTCCTTAAAAAGTAATATAATTAAATAGTCTATTGTGGCATAAAGGAATGGTTTTTGGTCAACATAAAAAATGACAAAAAGCATGAAGTTCGGGTACATTGAAGCAACAAGCCATTCAATGTGGTTTATTGTATAATGGGCACCTTTACACGATTTGACGATACAATAAATGTGTCCACAGCATTGGTGTTCACTTTATCTGTGCATGAGTCTTTTTATACGCACCACATATATACAAAAGTACATTCTGAAAAATATTGTGTACTTGCACCACTTGTATACATTAAGATTTACAGTACAGTGAAAGAAAAAAAATATTTAACATAACCTGAGAAAATGATTTAAATTGCAAATCACTTGTGCAATCTTTTGAATTTATCAGAATCATCAGCCCAAACTCATTGCAAATAATTTCAATTAAATCAATATTGTTTCTCTAGGTAAAAACGCTTATAATATGCTTTTAAGCATGTAATTGATATTTTTAGTTTTTGCCTGTTTGCTAAGAAAAGTTTACGTAAAATTTTTTATTAACGAAATAATCAATTGACTTTAATTTAATTCCACATATATTTACATTATTTTAAATTATAAACATGTTAAATATGTTGGCAGTACAGCTTTAAAATAACATGGTTAGTAGATTGTGGTAAAACGTTTAATACGTTCATCTATGACTTCTAAAGCCACCTGACTTATAAATGTAAGGTCAGGTCAGGTCTACTCGGCCCAGGTCAGTAAAGTCATGTTTGTAGTATTTGTCTTCAAAACATATTATCAAAACATTTAGTGATAAGATTTCTTTCAAATTTGTCGTTGAAAAAATCTATATCGCTGCAGTACAAGAGTCGATGTCACCCGGTCTCATGCTCACAACCTGCTTGCATCCTGCGGCGTCACAGAGTCGGTATCAGCACAAGTGTATGTTAGTTTTCTTTTAAAATTTGTGTCAGTTATGTTGTATTGATGTAGGCATATTGTATTGAACAATATCAGTATAAAGATTTTAAAAAGTGTTTACTTGTTGAGCATTTTACTTAACTCATTTTAAACTAGGCGTTATATATATATATATATATATATATATATATATATATATATATATATATATATATATATATATATATATATATTCATCGCGTTGAATGTAAATAAATGTGTCCGTAACAAAATGACAACGAGATAAAATTAAACGACTAGTTAAAAGGAAAGACTGCGGCGATCATGGGAAGAGGGAGGGGGTAGTAGCAGCAAGTCAAAAATTGCAAACTTTACAGAATAAATATGATTTTTCACCACGTCTATTAGTTATCAACTAAAGCTAAATAGTCTTTTTTTACTTTTTCATATACGAAGTATAGAAGAAGAATTGTAATCGTGCAAAAAGTAGAAAACGAGATTTTTACAGTTTTCGACGTTTTACACCCCCATGAGTCAGAAAAACTTAGTATTTTAAATCAATGTTATCTTTGTGTGTATGTGCGTGTGTGTTTGTCTGTATTTTTCCGTGTGTGTGTGTATGTGTGTGTGTCTGTCTGTCTGTGATACCTTGAGTACCATTAAAGCTAGGTTGATGCAATTTCATATATAAGCATTACATTAAATTTGCAGTTCTGTATCAACTTTTCAACTATTTTTCGGTAACCGGAAATGGAATTTTTTCTGCTTTTGTTTTTTTTTTAAACCTAAAACTTGAGTATTATTTCTGAATGAAATTTCCCATACCCATACCCATACCCATACCCATACCCATACCCATACCCATACCCATACCCATACCCATACCCATACCCATACCCATACCCATACCCATACCTATACCTATACCCATACCCATACCCATACCCATACCCATACCCATACCCATACCCATACCCATACCCATACCCATACCCATACCTATACCCATACCTGTACCTATACCTATACATATACCTTTTGGGGAGGGGGGGAGCTACAGTTGGTAGCGTGACACCCAACCTGGTTTTTTGTATTTTAGAATTATTTTTTTTCAGCAATAACATTGATATGAAAATGCCACCAAAAAAAAGTTTTTTCTTTCTTGCCATGTGTTTATTGGTAAGTAAAATAATAATTTTAACCAGTTTTAGTTATTTATTAAATAATAATTTTAAGTCAACATTTTAAAACTAAATATTAGGTGTTTTTTTGCAATTATGATGGTTCCATTTGAATAACTGATAAATGTGTAAAATATTTAATTTATAAGTTTCTGCATTATTTTTAGTTCGTACTTACAAGATATATTTATTAGGATCTGAGATATAAGTTGCTATTTCAAGATACATCTATTGTAATTAACAGTTATATGCCTAGATTGCAACTTTTTAAAAATAATCTTTAAAGATTGTCCACATTATGTGAGCAACAAGACTATTAAGTGAATAGAAAATGGGCTCAAATTTAAAGACTGTATTGTAAATTAGAAAAATAATATTCAAATGAACTATATGTTCTAAACTACACATCTTGTAGATTATAATTTAATTAGGACGCCATAAAACTTTAAAAACGAACCTACTGCTAGTAAACTTTAGCGTTTTTGTTCCAGGAAATCAAAGGCCAATTGGTAAGATGTATTTTTATTAGCATTTCTTTATAAGTTTTTACTAATTTGTTTTCTGGATACCGCTTTCATCAAATTTGTAAATGTTTTTAAGCTCAGAAATTATATTTAAAATGATACAAACATTTCTAGAAAAAATGCAAACGCTAATACAAGTGCAAGTACAAGTGCAAGTTTATTTATTTATTTATTTTAACAGATTGCTATGCCTCCTGATAACTCAGAGCCACATGTCCTTGTTAGTTTTACTAAAATTGATGATTGATTTTTCCTAATTAAGTATTATATAATCCCAGATTTTGTACGACATCGTAGTGATAACATAAATTATTAAAGTTAAATCCAAATCCAAATCCAAATCCAAATCCAAATGCAAATGCAAATGCAAATGCAAATGCAAATGCAAATGCAAATGCAAATGCAAATGCAAATGCAAATGCAAATGCAAATGCAAATGCAAATGCAAATGCAAATGCAAATGCAAATGCAAATGCAAATGCAAATGCAAATGCAAATGCAAATGCGAATGCAAATGCAAATGCAAATGCAAATGCGAATACAAATGCAAATGCAAATGCAAATGCAAAGGCAAAGGCAAAGGCAAATGCAAATACAAATGCAAATGCAAATGCAAATGCAAATGCAAATGCAAATGCAAATGCAAATGCAAATAGAAAGACAAAGACAAAGACAAAGACAAACACAAAGACAAACACGAATAATTTTAAAATCATGCATTGCGTAGTTACCATTAATATGGTTATAAA